GTACGACGGTGTGGACGTATGCGCCAAAATTATCTTAGTTGAACGTACAAATCTACCTTTCATGTTAAATTGCATATGCTAACCTTATATTCTAAATCTTATAATATTTCTTCACTCCTCTTCTAAATATTGCAATTAGTAATTTTAAGACTTTAATATTTATTCGGAAATGACGTTATGCCGATAATCAATTATTCTGATAGTGGATAAATGTGACATTTTAAATTAGGATTATTCGGAGAACGATTGAAATACTAAAGCCAGCTTCGGATCTGAATTAATAAAGAAACTCTTGGAAGTCCCTCACCGATTTCGATAGATTTTAGATATGTTGTAAAGCAGCTAAAGATATTAAATGTTTATGATTTTGTGCTCACTTTGATGTTTAAAGATAAAAACCACTTATATGTGCTAGCTGTTTCGAGATTTTCAGGATAATGATATGAGTAGGATGATACTGGAGACGTCCAAGTTCTGGGTAGGAGTGGACTTAGAGCAGTGGAGTTTTACGTGATTGCGTTTTCGAATATTCAGACGTTTATTCTAATTGAGAGTTCAAACGATACTGGTTTCTTCGATGAGGCCGATAGCGAACACACGATATTCACGTATTCGAACGTTATAACTGTAACAAAGACAATGAGAAATATGAACATAAAGGCGATGATAGATAGAAACATAATATGTACATACGGCATACTATGTACATACGGCATATGTACATACGGATCTTCGCGAATACAATAATATCGGTCGACGAAATTGTTGTATTATCAGATAGATAGATAAACACAAAGCAAGCGACTAAACTCAACGGTTACAGATATAATTGATTGCTGATAATTTGAACCGAATTGCTTTTCTCCTGTACGAGAGAGATCGGTTCTTTCGAAAAAGTTTGTCTACGTTCCGCCAAACACTAGCCCTTTATTATATTTTTAATTGATAGGTAAGAAAAGATAATATACGTACTATTGTTTTTTCTTCAATCTTTTACATTTATAAGGACAACTGTTACATATATCGATTCCTGTTATAATCGATCCTAGCAAACATAATATTATATACAGGATGTCTCAGAACTTTGGGACACGGGCTCCGTAGGGACATAGAGCTAAGTGAGAGGAACAAAAAATTCCTGTACCATAATGCGAAAATCGTAATAGTTTTTAGTAATAGTTTAGTAATAGTTTAGTAATAGTTTAGTAATAGTTTTTAGTAATAACCGCGTCAAGTTTGGTGTTTTCCACGTCCAGCGCGGCCTATAGAGGCTCCGCGGCAAGCTGTATGCGTAGGGCGTCAAAGCGCCAAGACGCCATCGCGACAGTCAGCGCGAGACGCGTTATTGCTCAGCTCCTACGCACACAGCTTGCCGCGGAGCGTCTATAGGCCGCGATGAGCGTGGAAAACGCCAAACTTTACGCGGTTATTACTAAAAAACTATTACGATTTTCACATTATGGTAGAGGACTTTTTTGTTCTTCTCACTTAGCTCTATGTCCCTACGGAGCCCGTGTCCCAAAGTTCTGAGATACCCTGTATAATACCTGTTAGCTGTAATTTCCTACTTAACAATATAACGGTTATATAACGCATGTATTATATAACAGTTACATCATTGAGTTGGAAATTACAACTAACAGGTATATTACATGTTACATTGTGTTTGCTGATTATGTCCGAATATGTTTTTCAATTATGATAAATTGGAGTGCTGCATTTTAATTAGCAATTGAAAAATGTGTATAAATAATTTTATGGCCGTAAAAACTCAAACTCGCGAATACCTTACCACTAATAAATTGATATTAAAAATTTGATCGATTATTAAAAATTTTCAGTTAGTCGCATCATTTCTATAACAGCTATTTCTCATAACATTTCTCATGACTCTTGATTAATCCAAAAAGCAAGAACATATTTAAAGAAAAAAAGCAATATTTTAAGATCTTGATATTTTGTATGTGTCAGTGATTTTAACGACTCTGAATGAAAAATGGTCGATTTGTTTTGTTAAATCGTATAAGATAATCATTCTGTGAATAGTACGAGGGTGGTCCGATAAGTACTTAGCCTACAAAAGAAAAACGAAAATTTTGGAAAAGTGGCGATTTATTTCTCAACATAGTCTCCTTTTAGCTCGATACACTTGACCCAGTGATGCTCCAACTTCTTTAACTCGTCTGAAAAATACGTTTTCTCGAGGTCTGCAAAGTAGGCCTCCGTGGCGGCGATGACCTCCTCATTCGACTCAAATTTCTGCCCGGCGAGTGACTTTTTCAAGTTTGGAAACAAAAAGAAGTCGCACGGGGCCAAATCTGGAGAATACGGTGGATAGGGCAGCAGTTCGTAGCCCAATTCGACCAATTTGACCGTGGCGAGGGCGGAGGTGTGAGCCGGTGCGTTGTCATGGTGGAAGAGCACTTTTTTCTTCGCCAAATGGGGCCGTTTTTCTGCAATTCGGCGTCGAATCGGCCCAATAATTCGGCATAATACAGCCCTGTGACCGTTTTGCCCTTCTCCAGGTAGTCGATGTAGATCACACCTTGTGAATCCCAGAAAACGGTGGCCATCACCTTTCCGGCCGATAGGACAGTCTTCGCCTTCTTCGGAGCACATTCGCCGGGTGAAGTCCACTGTTTCGACTGATCCTTGGTCTCTGGTGTGTACCAGTGGATCCATGTTTCGTCGACGGTCACGAAACGACGCAGAAACTCCTTCGGATTGCGCTTAAACAGCGTCAAACACTGCTCTGAAGTGGTCTCACGGTTGCGCTTGTTGTCCGGAGTGAGCAAACGCGGCACCCATCGCGCAGCTTTCTCATGCCCAAAATTTCATGCAGGATATGACCCACGCTTTCTTTTGAGATGCCTACTGTCTCAGCAATCTCGCGCACCTTTAATCGGCGGTCTGCCAATACGAGATCGTAGATTTTTATCATGTTATCCTCCGTGGTAGCCGTTTTCGGGGCACCTGGGCGTGGCTCATCAAAAACCGACGTGCGACCACGTTGAAACTCGTTAAACTAATTTTTGACGGTCGCCATCGAAGGAGAAGAGTCACCGTACACAGCATCCAAGCGCTCTTTGATTTCGCTGCGCGATTTCCCTTCCAAAAACAAGAATTGAATCACCGACCGATATTGCTCTTTTTCCATTTTTCTAAAATCCGCGGACACGCCCGCTTCCACATGCGGTCAAAACAAAACTACGAGTCCGATTCGGCTGAAATTTCGACAGTAGCCGTCTACGAGAATGTACTACACGATAATAAATTTCTCTTGCGATACTGGCGCCATCGGGCGGTGAGGCTAAGTACTTATCGGACCGCCCTCGTATATTATAATGTTATGCGCCACAGTATATGATGTCGCCCGTTTTTTGATTGCCGGACAGCTGGGATGATCTGATCAGCTGAGTTATAGAAAATCGATACCGGTCTTTAAGATTGAAGAGCGATCTCCCTAGGCAACGAAATAAATAATAACTGACATCTTTCACACGAGTTATCGCCGCGAGCTGACGTGTGGTAAACGCTGTTCTCTAATAATATTAGAACGAGAGAAACTTGTATATAAAAGAGAAAGTCTTATATTAGTAGTAAAGAAAAGTTCTTTCTTCTTTTTAAAGTCTTGTCCAAATTTATTTCACAAACCCGGTACGTGCGAGGCGATCGCCAAAAAATGAAATTTATTCCAGAGCCAACACCGATATGATTATTGCTTACGAGCTAGCAGGCAATGTCCAGGCCCGCCTATCGTTTCCCGTGCGCTCATTGGCTCAGATGTTTTAATTAATAACTTAATAACTATTACGATTTTTGCAAAATGGCATCACTTTTCTTTTCAATTTGATCTGATTAATCTTCACAAGTTTTCGTTTCCAAAACATCCGGAACACTCTGTATAAGTAATAAGTCACACATAATACTAAAAACTTTTCTAATGCATAATTGCACTATTAGAATAACGATTATATTTTAAAGATTATCAATAATTATGTCAATTATCTTCAATTATGATATTAAAAAAAAAGTTAGTAACAAGAAAATACACGCAAATAAAACTTTTCGTCACCTAGCATCATTTAGACGATGAAAGTTCGCTTTTGACGCATATCGATAGCGCGTAAGATGCCGTTTTCCACACAAATTAGAAGGGAGAGGGAAAGTGATGACAACTGAACGTTGATGACGACAAAAAAATAATGATGTTTGATTAATATTCGATGTTTGTTCGTTGAATAAATCAGATGTAAAAAATTATATCTGGAAGTTGACTTCTTATTTACGATTAAACAGAGTGTTAATTTGTATTAATTCTTATCTATGGGGTGTGAAGTGGTTGAGAGAGTTATTATACTTATTCGAGGGAGTGCTGAAGACCTCGTTCTAGGCACGAGATGGACGAGTTATAGTCATTCGCATAGAGTGCTGAAGATCTGTTTTGTAGGTGGTTGAATTATCAATACTTACTCGAATAGAATGCCGAGGATTCCCTTTCTGGGACGAGGTAAGGTCAAGTTGTTAGACTTATTGGGATATTAATGATTTCTTGCGAAGACAGGGTGGTCAAGTCGTTATTCAGATATTGATAATCTCTTTCGAAATATGAGACGGTTAAGTTGCTATATTTAATCGTATGGAGTATTGAAGAATCCTACGAATAGGTATAACGAGTTCCCAATTTCTCGAAATATATCACCTTGACAAAGACTTATAAAACGAGGCTATCTGATAAAACTGGATGTATACGAAAGGGCAACTTTATTGTTATATTTGTACAATATTTGCTGTGATATAATCTTGGCGCATGCATTTACACTGTCAAACATCATTTATCATCTTACGTATTATCTCATTATTATATTATCTTCTTATGTTCATAATTTACCACGAATATTTTCGATTATTATTAACAAATGATTGTATTCTACAAATATCTCTGATGGATTCATATCAAATTTTTTAAACAACTTTAATTATTATTATATAAATCGTAGGAAGAATGTCTCTGGAGCAATCCACGTTTTGTTAGTTTTACTTCAAACCGAACTTTCTGCGCTGGTTTGAGAGACGGCAGCGGTCCATGCAACGGCGACAGCGGAAGCGGTTTGGTGCTCCACGATTCAACCACGGGTCGTTATCAAATACGCGGTATTGTTTCACGGTCGTTATTCGATCTTAACGAAATGACATGCGATCTTACACAGTATGTCGTCTTTGTTGACGTGGCCAAATACATACCCTGGATTAATCAACAGACTTCTATTACGTAACATTTGTATCATAATTTGTGCATATACATAATTTATATACAGGGTGTTCATTTGCAAACTTTCCAGCTAATTATCTCGAAAACTATGAAAGATATTTAAAAAAGCTAAAACACGTTTTCCATGATTTTGAAGGGGAAAGAGAATGGCATTAACAGTTTCTTATTTGGAGGGCATTTTCAAGGTCAGTTGAAGGTCAATTTGATTTTTTTAAATAGAAAAACCAATTTTTTATTATATCTTCTTTTTCTACCAATTAATTTTAACAACTTTTGTTTGAAACATTTTTTTATTTGCCTAATACTTTTTGAAATATTTAAGGAAAACTTGGCAACTTTTTCAACATTTAATTTACGATATCTCGCTAATTATTCGTCGAAAGAAAAAATAGTATTAGACTTTGTTACTTTATTTACTATCAAGAATATATTACTACAGTGTCCTAACTTTCCTTAATTTATCGATCTTCGGAAATTTCAAAATTATTAAATTAACAAAAGTTAGGGCACTATTATAGTAATATATACTTGATAGTAAATAAAATAAAACAGCCTAATACTATTTTTTTTCGGCAAACAGTTAGCGACAAGTTAAATGTTGAAAAAGTTACAAAGTTACAAAGTTTTTCTTAAATATTTCAAAAAACATTAGCCAAATAAAAAAATATTTTACACAAAAGTTGATAAAATTATTTGATAGAAAAGGAAGATATAATAAAAAGTTGTCCTTTTTATTTAAAAAAATCAAGTTGTCCTTCAACTGACCTTGAAAATGACCTTCCAAATATAAAACTGATAATGCCATTCTCTTCCCCTTTCGAAATCATGGAACACATGATTAGTTTTTTTAATATCTTTTATAGATTTCGAGATAATTAGCTGGAAAGTTTTCAAATAAACACCCTGTATAATGTACATGTATGTGTACATAATTTTAATAAATTTAGAAAAATTGAAAACATTTGAATATATTAATAAAAATCGTATTTTTAAGTGAAATTATTTAGTGCCGTATTATTTAGTACTGTATTGTTATTTCAAAATATATTAAACATTTCTATTTTGCCCGAATTATTTTGATTTAAATCCTAATAAACATTAAATAATAATAAAATTATATCAATATTATAATTAGAATATTTATTATAATTATTACTATAATTGTAAATACACAAATATTATAATTGCTATTGTACATTATATTGGGTGAGTGCAAAAGTTCGTGCGGAGTTTCAATAGATGGAGTTATAAGCGTCGTAAAGTGTTGTCATTAATACTTCTATCTACATATTATATAACGTTGGAAAGGTGACGTCTTCAGCTGTTATTAAAAAGAAATCATTTGTTTTCATATAAACTGCTTCGAGAAATATCACTTTAAAAATGAGTATCGATAAGGTGCATTTACGGCATGTTATGCTTTACGAGTTTCGGAAGGGAATAAACGTTGCCGCAGCCGTAAAAAACATTCAGGATGTTTATCAGGATGAAGCACCAGCTAAACGAACTGTGGAAAAATGGTTTGCTAAATTTCGGCGCGGAGAATTTAACCTTGAAGACGAGCCACGCTCTGTTCGACCTTTTGACATTGATGACGATGTTTTGCGTACTTTAGTGCTCAATAATCCGCGAATTTCAACAGAAGAAGTTGCTACAGCACTAAACGTTGACCGATCAACCGCTTTTCGGCGTTTAAAAAAGATGGGATTCGATTTGAAGCTCGATATATGGGTGCCCCATTTGCTGACCGAGAAGAACAAAATCAAGCGAATTTTTGCAGCCGTTTCTTTATTCGGGCGGCTCAATAACGAGTCGTTTTTGGATCGACTAGTGACGGGCGATGAGAAATCCTCTACAACAATGTTCAGCGCAAACGGACATGGAAACAATCAGGTGAGCATGGTAACGCAATGCCAAAGGCCAGTTTGCACCCAATGAAGGTGATGCTCTCTGTTTGGTGGGATTGCAAGGGCATAATCTATTTCGAGCTTCTCCCCGCGAAACGATTGATTCGGACAAGTACTGTCGCCAATTAACCAATCTGAATCGAGAAATAAAAGAGTCGTCTTTCATCACGACAACGCCAGACCACACGTTTCGAAAAAGACGCTGCGCAAACTGAAGAGCCTGAAATGGGATGTCTTAACGCATCCACCGTATTCTCCTGATATCGCACCATCTGACTATCACTTGTTCCGGTCATTGCAAAATTATTTAAATGGAAAAAACTTTGACTCTTTGGAGGCCTTAAAAAACGGCGTCTCTTCGTTCTTCGAATCTAAACCGCGCAGTTTTTATGATCGAGGCATCCGTATGTTGCCAGAACGTTGGGAAAAGATTATAGAAAACGATGGAGAATATATCATTGATTGAATAAAGATTTTTGTTTGCCTAATCACTGTGTGACTTTTACTCACAAACTCCGCACGAATTTTTGCACTCACCCAATATATCAGGTGTAGTAAAAAGAAATCCATTATTTTTGCATGAAATTGAAGGCTTTAATTACCATAGTTAGAATGATCCGATTTAGGTCAAATATGCGCCGTTTTGTTCGATAACTTGTTGCCATTTTAAAGGTTTCATTATGCCTCTCTCATAGAAGCCCTCGTCCCTATTGGCAAAAAATTGAGACAGTCGATTTTCACAAGCCTCTCTTGAAGCGAATTTTTCACCAGCATAATTGTTCGCCATGGACAGGAACAGATGGTAATCACTTGGTGCCAGTCCGGACTATAAGGTGGATGCATAAGAACCTCCCAACTAAGCTCCCGGAGCTTCTGGCGAGTCACTATCGATGTGTGTGGCCTGGTGTTGTCCTGATGGAACACAATTCCTCTCCTATTGGCCAAAGCTGGCCGCTTTTGGGCAATTGCTTCCTTCAGACGGTCCAATTGTTGACAGTACAGTTCCGAGTTAAGAGTTTTGCCGTAGGGGAGCAGCTCATAGTAGATAATTCCCTGCCTCATAGTAGATAATTCCCACCAAACACACAGCAAAACCTTCCTGGCCATCAATCCTGGTTTGGCCACCGTTTCCGCCGGTTCACCGCGATTCGACCACGACTGTTTTCGGTTGACGTTGTTGTAAGTGATCCACTTTTGATCACCAGTGACCAACCGCTTCATGGTCGACCCAAATGGGTCGATGTTGTTACGATTCAGCAGCGATTCGCAAATGGAAATTCGGTCCATGAGGTTTTTTTTCGTTAACTCGTGTGGCACCCATACATCGAGCTTCTTTTTGTATCCAGCCTTATTCAAATGGTTCCAAACGGTTTTTTGTGCAATCTTTAGCTCTTGGGCAATCGAAACAGTGCTTACATGACGGTCGGACTCGACAATGTCCATGATTTTATCGATATTTTCAACAATTGGCCTTCCAGTGCGTGGTGCATCTTTGACATCGAAATTACCGGAACGGAATCGACGAAACCAAAATTGCGCGTGATTGGCTGTTACAGTATCAGGACCATAAACACTATTCACATTTTCAGTCGCCTGGCTTGCGTTTTCGCCTTTATCGAAGAAAAACTGTAAAATATAGCGTATTTTCTATTTGCTAGTGTCCATCTTTGACGCGCGCTCAAACAAAACTGAGTCAACTCTAATCACAAAACTGTCAAAAAAGTTTTTTTAGTAGAAATCTCATCTTTCTAATGCTATCCAGTGGAACCCGATCGGACTTATACAACGCGAGATACAGATAACTAGAGCCATCTATTGTAAAAATAATGGATTTCTTTTTACTACACCTGATATTTCGGCAACCACTCGAGATATCGATGTTCCAACAGTGGTTCTTATCTGCGTCTTGTTCTATGAGGATTAGTGCTTTCTAATGATACGAATATTGAGCATTCGATCATTATTGAGGGAGACTGCGTAAGCGCGGCACGAGACAAGCTCGTATACGCGCACTTACCGGCTTCAATTAACGAACTCTTATTATTCATACCATTATAAACTGTTAATCCCAGTAAAACAGAATACTAGCAATGTAATATTTCGCTAATGACGTCGACGTCTCTACCCGTTACCGAGATATAAGCGAAAAATGCACACGTCGTGATCAATTTCGGTCGACATGTCACAGTGTGTACGCACCTTGATATTTCGTTTACCGCATGCCCTTAATTAATCTCATTATATAATTTTCATTCCTGCAGAGCAGATGACGCACTTTTACGAATGTTATTGATATTGTTGTATCCGAGCCACAAAGTTTGTGGCAGCGTCCGTTGTCCGTGAGCCTTAGGCATCCGATGCTGATTTTGACATCTGAGCGAGAATTATCCTGATGACGGAAAATCGATAAGAAGTAAACAATAAGAACAGCTGATAGAGAGTCTCCGGCAAGCTGTCATCGTAGACAGACGAGAGAATTCAGAATTATTAAAATAGAGAATTATTCTTGTTTGAAGTTTGAGAAAGTTGCGCTGTATATAGTAAAGCTTGATATTCTTACGCGAGTGTTCTTATTTACCTGTGTGAAACCGCGAGTGTGAGAGTGAGCGCTACAATATGTTAGGCGTTTACAGATAATAGACGTAAATGTGACTGATAAATTTTGTCGCCAAAAGGAGCTGCATGCGTGACCGTCGGTGTCTCTTCCACACCGCCTGCACCATCGTATATAATATTGTCAAGATTTGCGCGTCAGTGAATTCTGTATTAAACTTAAATAACTCTCATCAGTCTAGATACAGTCTGTTCAGTAGGTACAGTCAGTTTCAAAGATGCCGCTCACGCAAGACGATCCTTTTAGCCCTGAAAAATTATGTTGGCACATTATTCGCTTATATCTCCGCAACCGTATAAGATATCATCGATGTTCCATAATAAATGCTTTCTCGGTATTCTGTCCTGCTCGAATTGATTATTCATAACGATACGATTAATGAACGCAATGTGAAAGCGCTCACATTTTGCGTCTTGTCAGCCGAACTCGTTAGCGGCATTTACATTTTTCGCTTATATTTCGGCAACCACTCGAGATATCAGTGTCCCACCAACAGTGTTATCTTACCTGCGTCCTGTTCTATGAGGATGAGTGCTTTCTAATGATACGAATAATAACACAGCCACACACAAAAAAAAGTGTCTTAATCTGGGGACGAGACATGTGTATTCCTATGTATTTTGACGCGCTGAATCCAAATCCGCTA